ATTATTATTATTATTATTATTATTATTATTATTATTATTATCATTATTGCTCCTGCTGCTGCTACTGCTACCATTTAAGCCTTGTTTCTGGTTTATTAATGTTTTCTATTATTTATTTGTGTGTGTGATCATATGCCTTTATGGAGGTCAGTGGAGACCCACAGAAGTAATTCTTTGCTTCCAGTATGTGGGACCCAGGTCCTCAGGCTTAGCAAGTGCCTTTGCCCACAGAAACATGTCACTGGCCCCAGGTTTAGAGGCCCAAGAATAGAACCTTTTTTTTCTTTCTTTCTAAGATTGTTTGTTGGCACATACTTGTACACATTAACAGTCTTGAATGATTTTCGAATTTTTGTGATGTCAGTAGTCTTTATCTATCACCTGTGACTTAGTGACTTCTATTGGTTTGCTTTTCAAAATATTGGCTGTTTGTTGATCATTAATGATTTTTATTCTGTTTTACATATTTCTACTGTGGTGTTTGTTATTTCATGTCTCCTGGGTTTGCACCTGGTTTGTTTTCTCATTCTTGAGATACATTTTCAGTTTGTTTATTTAAACTTACGTTTTAAACCCACGTCTGTTTAGTCCTGACTCTGACACTTATTTCTAAGAGTGGTTAGATGCCTCTGAAGTACGTGATGTCTTTTAAGTTCCTTTCTGCTATGTGGATATTACATGTTTCTAGTTTTCTGCACATTATTGATGAGTAGTATTTTCTCACTTACATGGTCAGAGGATGAATAGGGCATAAAATCATTATGTTGTTACTGTACTTAAAATAATACAAAATTTGCTGATATTTATTAAATATATCAAAACTCCAGAAAACAGGCACAGAAGTGTGTTATAGTATATATGTACTTTCCAATTCTTTTAAAGCACAGTAGTGCATAGTAGTGGAGACTCAAAGTCGTCAGCTATTAGAAAGACAGTTATTATAAGAGAGCTGTTACATTATTTTACTTACTGGTTTTAATTTAGGGCACACACTTTAGTTAATGTCTCTTCTACCCAGCATCCTTGTGGGTGAATTCATGTGGGCTACTTTAAGCATGGCTTGAAAAAATCCTGTAGGGACCAAGACCCTTTTTATCTTTAGCAATTTTAAATTTTACTTTGATTTCATACTGTACCATATATCACTTCAAGAAAATGTTGTTGATGAGTAGATGTGTTCATTCCTTTAAGAGGTTTTGTATCTAATGAATCCCGTTTTAGCTTTAGATATTCCTTCCTCCACACTGATGTTGAAAGCCTATACACATTGTCATCCATGTAAGCTAATTTTCTCTCTTTATACTGCAGTGTCCTCTCACCTGGCAGAGCAAATGGGAAGGCCCCGAGGATCCCCTCCAGTACCTTCGAGGTCTTGTAGCCC